TTGGCCAAACGTCAGGCTAATGGATACAACTGCAACCATTTCATAAGCACACCATGTCGGTAGGCGCTAGCAGTTTTGGGCAGAATGCTTAGTGACGTGCTGTAGCTGTCGGCAACGGAAGCGCCCTTGCTGCACAAACATCTTGGTGGGGAGCTTGTGCCCAATTGCAAAACTTTAAGCACCTCGACCTCCCACTACAAGGCCTAAACTGACATGGGGCACAGTTTTTTTCCGACGGGGTTGCTCAAGCGGGTGTGAATTCTCCAGTAATCGCCAAAAAATCGTAGAGGAATGTGTCTCTCGGGGATAAGCATCAGAGAGGACAACTGGGATACAACAGCCGTCGGCGGGGAAGCCGCCGTGGAATATATATCTGGCAGTTTGACCTCTGACGAACAAAAAATGGTTGGGAAGCAAAACACCAGGGGGCACCGGGGATGGCAAGGAGCCCTGCATAGCCTTTGGTAGTGTTCAGTGTGCGCCAAACACGTACGGTATCACGAAGTATGGTTCGAGCGAGAAACATTGGTTTCAAGATCCTAAGCCTCCATCAAGGAGTCGTGCCGAGGATATTCTCAGTTGAGCAAACGTTCGTCGTTTAGACCGGAAACAAAAAAATTAAGGCGGGGTTCTCTGGTGCGCGTTGTAAAGGGGAAACGTATATGTCTCAAAGTAACAGATCTCCTGCTTGTTCCTAACCTTACGGGCTGCATGAAAAGTGACATCATTTTAAGTTTTTTCCCCAAAAAGTGGCGTCCTAAAAGCGGGGTTGCGTCCTTAACACTCAGGGGACGGTAGCTCACCATCCCCGGGACCAATGGAGGAATGCTATACCTCAAACTACACGTCTTTTGCTAAGGAAAGGGGTGGTACGACGTCAGCATCGCCGAGACGACTGGCAACCGTTTGTTGACGTCGAACATATTTACAATACTTGGAATGAGATGTACAGTATTCGGGAACGTGTTGAAAGAAGGTACGGGTTTAAGAGAGGAAAATCGCTTGGCACGACCAAAATCGATTTAAGAGAAATTTGGCATATTTCTGAGATTTTCTCACAAACCGAGCTGCTGGAGGCGACGTCAAGTAGCCATCACACACATCCCACAGCTCTCAACACAGACACAGCTGCAGGCACCATGCCCTGCGCAGCGGGCGACCGCTGCAACATGCCCGACGACACGCCAGGCCCGCCTCATTTCACAATACAAACATGCGGAGGCGTCTGCGGGCACTACCTCCATGGTATCTGTGGTGAACCCGCTCGGCACCACTGAGGTGCACCGCATCTGCCACACCTGTGCGGCCTCCCGCGAGCGCGAGACTTCAGGCGCGGGGACTGCTGGGGCGCAGCCAGAGAAGAGCGGCTCACAACAAGCAACAAATACTTCTATTGTTTTTCCACGCGCACTAAGTGTGCCACACAACATGATCCTTATCTAGTCCAAGAGCGTACCGTGACTTGAGTCCATATCGCTCGCCGACCAACAGACAAAGCTGTGTGTGGAGCTGGCCTAAGGTGCTGACGCTACCTGGGTCATGTGACGTACGTAAATGATCGGCTCTCCATGAGCTCCTACGGCACATACTGCTGGAGTGGGCGTCAGGGTGTCAGTATTCCACGACCTTTCGAGTTGGCTACGGTATAAGGAAATGTTCTCTAAAAGTGAGATATGGCTTAGAGGAATACTCTCTTAAAGCGTAGCCAAAACGGTTTAACAGGAATACCGATGAAAGAGAGCAAAATTGGCTTGTACCAACCCTCTCTTCAACCGTAGCCGCTACTGTATTTATCTCATTCTTGTGAAACATAGAAAAACGAGCGTATTTCATCGTCGCACCGAGGAACACCAGTGCATATCACTGTCGCGGTGGAGACCAAAAGCTACCCTGATGACTTTTCCTCCCACATATCGCGAAGAGTTCCCTGAACCTCCCCCCGCGGCTTGGCTCTACGGCCCTGTTGAGTTTCATGAGTAAACGAATGAACAGTCTTCGAAAGCAGGTACTGCGTCTCACGGTACTCGCCACCCCTTCCCTTCGCGTACAACACGTACAAATACAGATTGCGCTCGCAGTTAAGAAAAAATATATTAAGAAAAAGGCTCAACACTGTACGAAAAATATGAAACAAGGGCTAAAAAAGCCCAATCTCGGCCACAACGTAAGAAACGCCCCAATAAGAAACGTGATGGTGCGATACTCCCATGACATCAGAAATCTACATTGCTCCCAACGCCCAGCCAGGCTGAACAGAAGTGCACTTTTTTTGTAGGGGGCAGGGTCCCCCCACTACCGCCCCCCCCGCGCCCCTGCTGTTCACAGTGAGTGCTAAAATGTAGTACTGCCACACATCTCGGACAACCATATGCTCTCCGCTGTTGATGTCACTCTCCACCACCTCTCTTGAGGGCTTGATGACATGGATTGTCCTCAGAGAACCAAGACAGAAAAACGAATATTCGAAGCATGTTGTAGTCTAAGGAATAAGGGAATCTGGAGGATGCGACAGTCCAAAGGAAGAAGAAATGTCATTTACGGAATGGACGACTTGGGCCGGTACTACGACCCAAAAAAGGGATTGGTGAGGCTCGGACCGATATTGACGTTTTATACCTGCGGGCGCTATCTCTAGCATTGAACGTCCTCCAACCGAGAGATAACCTCGCCCTCGGTGTGGGACGAGGTTATTCACGTCTCAAATTTTGGCGGCATCAGATGGACCGCTGGTGGATGGGATAACTCTATCCATACCAACACCCAGTTGCAGCTGCAGCAGCAGACCGCTCGCTACTTCTGCTGTCTGTGCGTCGCTACTTGTGCACTCACTGTGGTGCGTGATTCGTGCAAAGAGCGGCCCGCAGGCCCGCATAACACACAACAGGGTACGCGGCAAAAAAATGGGGGTACCCCATTATCGTAGATTCTGCCGGGCCCGCGGAGCTCAGCAAAACAAGTTTCCTTAAGCGGGAGTTTCCTTAATGCGAGCGTCCTTGAAGCGGGGTCGACTGTATACGCTTCCTGTATCTGTGCGCACCTCTTGGACGAAGTTGGTGGCGGTGCCAAAGAACGGATGTATGTCGCTGAGCTCCGGACCCTCGGTAATGCCGTACAGGAGTTTGTTCGCAACCCTTCGCCCACCTTCTTGCAATTTCTCCAGCTCTGAAGCCGACCTTGTTCGTCGTCACGAAGTACACATTGAACGACCGACAACGTATCGTCATTCCAGCTTGCACGGGCACCAAATGATAGAATACAAGGACCAGAATCCCCATCTGTCTAACTTACAAATCTTTGTCGCTGTTTCAATATTCGAACTTGTATACCGCGCGCTGGACCCTATCAACCAAACACACCCCCCGCATGTTATAGTGGGTGTCCCTCGTACGAAGTTCTAACCCTAAGGCCCTACCAATAGTAGATAAGTCAACACAAGCAAGACATAGCCGTGTGTGCCGTTCGTAGGCGTCTTTCGTGGTCTCATGCAACAGGCAAGATAGCCACGGTTAGAGGACTCGAAGGGATGTTGACAATATTGGATACATTCGCAAAACCATGCTATGTGCCTTGTACTCTGTATGCCGGTTGAATCCCCTTGCGTGATGCGGCCGTGTACAGCACCCACAAGTGCTTGTGTGCAGGGCCATGTCTTCATCGACATTGCAGTGGAATGTCGTTGCTCCCCCCTCCGAATCTACTCCACGGCACGCTAGGTTGCGTAAGATATCACACACCCTGGACCGATTTCCACTTATCGAATTCTCCACGAAGAGGTGCCCGAGGCAAACGAGACGTGTTCCGAAAGCTCCCGACGGGACGGTTCCAACTCCGCCAATTTTGGCCTCGTCACTCGTTTCCCAGCCGTGTAATCAAGCTTCGGATATCGGACCAGGGGGTGGGTGTGATCTGTTATGGAACTTACCGTCGCCGGCAACGCCGAAAGGGCCACAAGTATTGTCCTGCTTCGGGAGAGACATATATATGCGCGAGAGGCGTACCACACCACCCGCCGCCCTCTGAACGGTACAGTGTTGGTTGGAGATAAACCGAGCACACATAGCGCATCAACCCGGTAAAGATCGACGAAGTATACGCTTGGTCAAACGCGACAAGAATCATCGTCACCTCGAGAGCACATCTCGAACTACATCCTTGACGAATTCCCGTGTGCTGAAGCCAGCCGAGTCAACCACCACAGCAAAGTCCGAATAGTTGACCGCAGTCCTGACGCACCGCCGCCCCACGAAAGAGGAAAGATACAAATGAAAACGACGAGAAAATACAAGACGACATCAGCGAAAAAAATGACAACAATGTAAATTTCATGACGAACGTGTTGATGAGAACACATCAATTGAGTTTTCTTGATCTCCGCCCTCATCACCCATTTATTCAGCGCGGGTGTATCCACACCTGAAAGGTAGGGGTCGAGCAAAAAGTTATAGTGAGGGTTTCTGCACCCGGGTAACCCGCAGGTAGAAATTGGTAGGAAGGCAGGTGAGTGATCGGGCATCCTTATAGTAACGAAGCCGTCCAACAATAGAAATGCCTTCCGTCTACACCGGCGAGGTATTCGATGATTCGCTGCTGCATGTGTTTGAACACTTGAAACCGTGTAGGCGATGAAGGGGGGAGTGAAACAATCCAGACTTAATACCCAATTTCAAATCTGGTAGTGTGGCAGAAACACATGCCCGGAAAAGAGCCCAGCGCTTGCTTGCTGAAAAAAGCTTCAATGCCAGGTCTCGATCCTCTGAGTCAAACCAAGCCTTACCCCCCAAGTGCTGTTTTTCTTGATCGTTGTATGACATCTACACTAAACGAAGGAACGGGGACTAATTACTGTCTCCACGGTCCCGCGTTCCAGCATGACCAAAACCATCTACACTAAACGAAGGAACGGAGACTAATTACTGTCTCCACGGTCCCGCGTTCCCGCATGACCAAAACTCTGCATCAAGCACAGAATGTCACTCGTGTCACAACACCAAGGGGAGGTCTCACTGGGAAAATGGAAGCATGGGAACCGTTGCCTCGGTGACGATCGGCGTGCACCCCGCCGCGATGGCGTCGAACAGGCGGCGGCTCGATTCCGTGTCTCCACGTGGAGAGAAGCAGAACCTGCTCGACGTCCGCCGACCCACGCACCCGTCGATCGAGGATTCGTTTTGACGTACGGAGTGGGAAAGTTGTCAGATACGTCCCGGCAACCGAACTATCTCGCACGGAAGTCTGCCCACTCATAACCCCTTCTAGGTTCTTGGCCTACGTCCTCTGCAGAGGAATCGTTCGCCCACGAACAGACAACTCACACTTCACTGCATACAAATCCACGCAGACAGTTGCACATCTACACATGATGAATCGCGTCATTGTAGGTGCTTCAGGCGCCACGTTCAACGACGCTTGTGTTAAACATCAACGTTTGACGTATCAGCAGCCGCAGTCGCACCTGCTGCGGGCCATGTGTTCGGCGTATTGCGTCGAGTTCATGCCCCATCGCGATGGAAGGTTATCAAGTATCACGACGCTGCCCTTTGCAATGTCCGCCACCACCTGCAGAATATGTAGTGCATACAAATGGTGCTACGATCCGTTCAATAGAATCGAAAACAGTGATAGAAATTCTAAGACATTGGGGTATCAACGACGGGTTCACCCTGGTGTGGTGGACAAGTGAGAGACAAACATTCAGTACCACGTTCGGCAACAGTATCACGAATGCCACCAAGTTGTATGCATTCCTGGGTGGTAGAGACCCACCACTGAGACGCGCGCGCTCACGTACCGAAAACGCGGAAAAGCCAAGCATACAGGAGTAGCAACAGAGTCAGGCGCACGCCTTGATCGCTCTGTCTCGATATCTCTTTCGCAAGAAAAAGGCGTAGGGCCAGACATCTACGAATATACAAGTTGATATACAATGTACAATGCTCACACCTGACACGCATGAGTGACACGTGCACGTGAGCATAAACCAAACAACGACGCAAGGGAATTCGTAAATGTTTCTTACGGACCAGAGAAGTCAAAGGCCGAACGTAGGTACCGGGAACGTACGTCGAGGTTTTCGCGCTCCGGGCGGCCGCGGGCCGTCCCGACAAAAAAGAACGGAATGTCGCGGGCTTCAGCCGTGCGCCCCCCGATCATGTCGCTTGTAGCGAGGACGCTGCTCGCTGTGTAAGGCACGGTGACCATCTTTCGCGGCCCGCAGCCCCATCTGTTGCGGAGCAATGTGATTGGTTGGTCCCAAGACACACAGATACCGGGAGATTCAAGCAAGCATTCACTCGACAAATCGAGCAAAGGCACGGCGCGCTCGTACATAGGGGTTCCACACGAACCACTCGACGCTCAAGCGCTCGACGGGCCCCTGCAAGCACGTCGAGGCAGAAAAAATGGGCATTCATGAAGCAATCCCGTTTCCTTTCTCTCACCACCGTGTCGCGCAATAAACGGCCAAGAACCATTGAGACACCGCCGCGCCCACCTGGTCCACTTAAATACCCTCTCGTTGATTCCAACGACCGTGCGGCGTAGCAGCATCCGGTGTTTCGGCCCCAGCCCATTCCTGCAACCCCACCACGCGCACATGAGAATGTGGTCGGCGCCGCCGAAGCGATTGAAGAAGAGACTGGACGAAGACAGGTACTCCACCGAGGCGTCCATGAGTTCGTCGTGCGTCAAGCCCCCACATCTGCGACGTAGTTCGAGATGTATGGTGCTGTGATAAAGTAATAAATGACTTGGGATGGCGACTCGACGAGTATCACAGGCGATTATTTACTGCGGTTCGTTCATGAGTGAAGCGTGTATTGTCGTGGGCCTGTGGCACGGGAGTCCACCCACCTGGTTAAAGGGGTAATTTTTCACGAACGGCCGCCTTGGACCTCACGAAGCGTGCCATGGAATTGACAAATAATGTTGAGGGCACCCCAAAACCCTCAATGAATGGGATCTGTGTGTTCAAATACATAGCAATACAAAAAGGTTTGCATTTCGATGTGCAATACGCGAACGTTCCTGCAAAACGTGTCCAGAACGACGACGCACAATCTCTACCTGCACAACAACAAGGAACACTAGGCCGTTATTTAATTTCCTGGCCCACGCAACGGTTCTGCGTGCAAAAGTCATCCCGGACACCACCTGGCGCGCCCCCGGGAGGACCGGAAAAATATTCATATTTTCTGCTCATGGGGCTTGTGCGCACACTTCGCGCGAATCAGCCAACTCTGCGAGGCACACCGTGTGCAGCCAGTGACGATGTTCCACTTATTTTCCGAGAGGGTCAGGTGCTCCGGATTGCTACACAAACTTCGTGAACCAATTTGCTACGACAACGATGCGACCTAGGAGCTGCACATCGCAGAGAGACACACCCGACACACCTTTGCGCACGCAACAAGGCTCGGGACTCGTTCTACCTCAGGGTGCCCGAACAGAACCCCCCACGACTGACGTTACTTGTGCGACCGTTACCGAAATCGTCCCACACACTTCACTTCGCGGCGTAAGATCAGGTGAGTGAAACGGTTGTGATGACTCTCCACCTCCACTCGTAGACTTGAGATTCGCGTCTTTTCGCAAGAGTCCTCAACATCTCAACGGTTTGTATGGGGGGGGGTTGTTGTTTGTGGGTGGAGAGGGATACTTATCCGATTGCTCGCCTCAAACTACACTCCATCAATGGCCAAACACCTCGAGATTGTAGGCTAAAACGGACACCTGGGATTCTGAAGCAGAAACCCCCTTTCTCCAACGCTAGGGTTGTGGTAAATACGGTGACAACGTCGAAGGACATCCCATTTTAGTGGCACCAGGACAACGCGACTCGACGCACGGGTTCTAACCATCAATGGGTGCAATCCATGCCAGGTAGAAATCCAATCTTGGTTGCTATGCATCCCTACGCGCCAAACAACAATGAAGGAGACAAAGCAGCAGAATAGACGATGGACGACAGTTGAACAGTAACTGAGGGGACGGAACCAATGCAACGCACCACAATATATTCATGATGTTCTGGTGATAACATATTTCAAACAAACCTGTGTTCGGTCAGTTTCGAGCTCAGTGCCGAGTAGATGGGTACGTAGAAAAGGTCAGCTTCCTCGGGGTCCAACACGCGCCACGGGTGGAAGAGCATCGCGCTGGAAACACGTGGTAGCGTTGTTCGGGTAAAGCCGACCCAGGCCGGGTGGAAACGACGACGGGGGGGCACGGGAGCATGGGGCATGAACAGTACGGCGGTGTGAGGGTCTCTTACATGCTTCTTTGCATACATCAGGAGTAGCTAAACTGGTGCGCTTGAACGAAGGGGGCGATAAGAGAGGAAGGCAACGAGAGTGGACTGTGTGGAGATACCCTTATGTAGGGCGTAAGTACGGTGTTGGGCAGAGGTTATGACGAGAGTACACTGGAAACAGAGTGAAGTATAATGCCGTTGGAGGGAAAGCGTTTGACGGAAGTTATTGACGGTAGAAATAGATCCCTGCCTGCCTATCTCAGTCTCAAAACGTAATGAATGTGTGGAACCTTAACGAACGGAGACGCGCGCTCGATGACCTCTACCTCAACGATTCTCGGGGTGAGTGCCACACGATCCCTCTTGTACAATTTCTAAACATTTTCGGACAAGTGCATGTGATGGCATAACGGGTACGGCGACGGCTTGCAGGGTTTTCAAGGAAGGTAACTCAGCCTGGGTCATCAGACGGACGACAGGCGAAACCAGGAAAGGCGTCCCAATAATATGCAAACAATATCAAAGATGAGTGACAGACAGCCAAGAGAATAACACGAACCGAGAGATAGACAGCTTTCGATATTTTATACTCTACAAGGTCTCCCTTCGGGACGTGGGTGTCCACCCTCCCTCAGGTTACGCAAGACCACATGCGCATTGCCCGAAGAGGGATTGTGTGTCTTATAACGCTTGAATTTCCGCACAACACATAGCGCACGACGTTATTCTAAATTGAAGCCAGCTCGAGCAGACAATATTCTGGCAGCGAAAACTCACACTTCAATCATGTCTTCGATTGACGGCCGATTTCCGATGAGAACCGAATTTGAAGTCGAAACAGCACCAACGGGACATGTTCAACACTGCGGCCGGATGCATGCTCTCAGGCTTGTTTACACTTGGCCCGCTGCGAAGTGTTGTAAACGTAGGTACTGCTGCTGGACAAATGCGATGACACGAAGAGTCACAGCCATGAATGATGGAGTGGATGAATGGATGAACAAATGAAAGTGGAGAAGCAAGAGGCAAAATCTCAAACCGTCGTGTTCGATGGGTTTGACAGGTTTCAGAATTGGTTCGCCAGGCTTCGTCAGCGCAGAACGCGTCCCCGGGGTTTTGAGCCAGTTTTCGCAAATTTGGCTGTCAACCACACGCGCCACGTAGGCCTACCGAGCTCCGGGCACGGGCGTTAATGTACTGATGAGCCTCCTGCGTGCCCGTGCGGAGGGACCGCAAGAAACGAGTCGCTCCCGCGACAGAGTGAAACGCCAACGCATGAAAAGTGACCAAATGTTACATGTACATATATGCGAGCGAAACGAAATTTTTCATCTGACCTGTGAGGTTTCAGATAGTGCTTCATCCAAAAAAAAAAGTGTGTACGTCTGTCCGCTTGGTCTAAGTCTTGGGACTACAGACCATCACTTCATGATAGAGGTCGTTCGGTAGACATCACACAGAACTCACGCACATACACACACGCACACACTCACCGCAGACAACACGCGCAAGGGGGGCACAGCGATACACGCACAGCGGGCTACAACAGCGGCCAGAGAAATAGAGGTGTGGTTGCTGTGAGCTCATGGCTCATTATCGATAGACGTCCGTTGCGGTCGATTGACCCGAATTCCGTCCTGAGGCAGAGGCGCACACAGACGCCTGGAGCAAACAGACCCGTGGGCGGGATAGGGAGTACCTAGGCTGCCTGCTGAGTGAGAGGGCGAGAGCTGCTGGTCGTCCGAGGGCTGCCACCAGGCGTGCGACAGCAACTGATGAAACACGGGCAGAAAGGTGCGTTAGTGCGTGTGGTTGATTGCCAAGAATTCAAATACATAGCGGCCCCCATGGTTTCTTCTTCTTGCGCACACACAGAACGAAACACACAGAACAAAGCTGTCTCTCTTACACACGCACAGGCTGCGGGCGGACCGGCAGAGAGCCGTCGGTAGGCGACAGCGAAGGGCACCAGAACAGCGGGAGGCTAGCCGAGACACAAGCTGCGAGGCGCCGGCGAGAGACGTTACAAGCGACAGAGGCCAGGCGTGTGTGCATATCCAACGTTACAAAAAGGTGTCCCCCTTTGGTTGTCGCCGCATCGTCAACATGCGTCACGCTGCCACCGAAAATCACACGTTGAGACCAACCTCACCGGACACCACTTCGCAGGCGTGTAGCTACCAGCTGCCAGGCAACTGGTAGCGGCGACCAGAGATGCCGAGAGAGCGAGGCGAGAGAGCAAGGCCAATTTGAAGCGGACAGACCTTGCGGAGTTTGACGCTGCTAGGCCGCTGGAAACGTTGGGTTGGGCCAGAGACGAGGTGCATATGAACTTCCAGCAGCGGCTCTCTTCCTGCTGCGGTGCCCCTCGCAAACACACGCTCTTCCTTCCGTGGACGCTGACGTCTGACGATAGTTACATCTACCAGCTGTCGCTCGTTGTAGCGACAGCTAGCATACCCTCGGTGGCAGGGCCCTGCCGTCCCTATCCCTCGTCAACGGTGCTAACGTCGAAGGTTGATACTCATGACCTTTGCCAGCTTTTTCACTTTCACTCCCTCTTCTCCCCTCTGGCCTCCCCTCGCCGATGGGGGGTCTAGGCTCCGCCAGTGGGCTTAGACCACACAAATACCACCACGAAGACACGAGCTCGAGCCTCGAGGGGAAAGTAGACCGAAGTTTGATCGATAGGAGTAACAGCCACGGGTTTCAACCCTACCCCCCCGGTTTGGACACTGGACTTGAGCAGCGGCGTAGAACGCAGGGGCGGTTGCTCGGAAGGGAAGAAAGGGGCCACACACCGCGCGGGTATGCATGGGAGAAGCGAGGAAGTAGTGGAATCGGGGAGAGCAAGAAGGTTGCACGTGCCTGCGAATATGCCGCGAACCGGGCTGACATAGGCCTCAGCCAGAAAATCCAAACGGCGATTTGGCGACAACAAAGGAAACGAAGGTTTGAGGGACAAAACAAAAAGAGCGGAGCGGTGAAATTCGTAACGGCGAACGCACCGACGAGGTCGCAGATCGTTAAGAAGAGCATAAGGTTTGGAATAAGCTCAAAAACCTTATGCAGCGAATCCCAGTGAAGGATGGATGCTAATGCACGAACGGGGATGAGAACGGAGGAAGAGAACCTGGAGGACGAGAGGGCCCTTTGGCCCTTGTGGACGTGATGAGCTGAACGATATCGGCAATCCACTGCTGAACTTCGCGATAGGCGCATACCCGCCATCACCAACACCCTCTTCAGTACGCGCAAAGGCGGAATATCACACACCTCCAACGGCGTCAAGGGCACAAGGGTGGGAGACTTAAAACAAATAGCCTGCATCCTAACGCGGCAGTCACATCAACGTCGCGTAAGCAACGTAGTTGTACACCCCCAACCCACATTCCCGAACAAACCGGTCACGACATGATAACCAGGTCGCGAACAACCGCGTCGCACGGAACAAGCCGAAATAACGGCAATTCAGTCGCATACGCTGCAAGAGGAAGCACAGAGGGACGAGAGGTGATCGATGACTTCCTCGAAAACCTCGAAAACCTTAACAAGCTGACTGACTAGCGCAGCCGGAGCGGCTCGGAAGGCGCGAGGGGATTCACCCACGCTATCCTCGAGACAGCACAGTCAGTGCTGCCCGCGGAGACCCGAATATCACGTATGAAGGAGTGGTGCCAGAGCCCGGAAACGAAAACAGCAGTCGAGCCAGCACTTGCCGAGCGGAGAAAGGCATGCCGGGGTATGAAAATCGACTAAACCCCCAGCCACATCAAGGCCGCCTGCAAGGCAGTACGTACAGCAGTCTATGACGGCATCTATGCCCATCTGGAGAAGGATGTGGCTAAAACAGAATCTATCCTCGAGGATCGCGACCTGCGGGGAACTGCCGGAACTGCCGGAAAGGCAGTAGGTCTTCCGACCTGGCAGGTCAACCTTTGACATGCTGTTCGTCGTACGACGACCGCAGGAGCTGGCATGGAGGCGAGTATCTCGCTGTACATGTGTTTCGTCGTTCTACAGAAGGCCTACAACTTAGGCGACCGGGAGCTAATGTGGCGGGTGCTGGGCTGAGCCGGGATCCTGGCGGAAATGATCGCGGTCATCCGCTAGTTCCGAAGAAGGGATCGCCGCCACCGCTACACCCCCACCACCTACGGCACTGCTGGTGACCGAAGCAGTGAGCAGAAGTACGCCTAGACAGCGGAGTTCCGATATCTGTACGTAGCCGGGTCGGAGAAGATGCTAACTCACGCAGGAGATCAATCAACGGGGCAGAGCAGCGTGGGCTTGTCTCCGCAAGTTCGCCCAGGAGCTCTTGACACGACGACAGCACCGTGGGGACTGAAAACCCGGCTGCTGAACGCGAAAGCGATAGAGGGCCTTCTAGACGGAGCCATAACGTGGGCCCCGCGTCGCAAGCACTACGACCTCCTGACGACCACACACCACCGTCTTCTGCTACGTGTTATGGGCTACCGCCGCACGAGCGGACAATATCGCCAGCTCTCATACGCCCAAGTCCTGACAAGGGTCGGATGCCAAAGCGTGGAGGTTATTCTTCGACAAAGGCGACTACTGTTTGCTGGAGCATTGGCCAGACAACCGGATGGGCGACTCCCAAAGCGTTTGCTGTTCAGAGATAACGTGGGGGGGGGGGAACCCAGACAGCGGGCGTCCGGAAAAGAACTGGGTGTTATGTTTGAAGGACTACTCGTAGAGTTTGGTGCCAACGCCGAATCCACGGCTGACGACCTGAAGACGTTCGGAAAACCGCGTGGGTGCTGGCCTATCGCAGCGAAGGTGGAAAAAGGGATGCCGTGGTACAAAGGGGTGGAGGGAGCACGAAAGGCAAGCATACTTCGCGCGGAGGACCGGAACAAGAAAAACACCGGACAGGAGACCAAAGCACAGCAGAGCAGGGAAGGAAGGGAGCACGGGGGAAGAAACATCGAAAGACCGAAGACACGACTGCAGCCGAAGCGAGCAGGATGAGGATGGCTGAACGGATAGTAGAGAGACGTGTACCGGACTGATGTTGATGATGGAGAATATAGCAGGAGTACCAGCCGTACATGTCCCTTTTTAGTTTGTTTTTTCCGTCGTGTAGCTGACCCCCCCCCAGTGTTTGCCATCGGGGTTGGGTTTTCGTCGCTTGGCAACGACGTTGCAAAACAAGCCCCCCCCTTGGTGTTTGCCATCGGGGTTGGGTTTCCGTCGCTTGGCAACGACGTTGTAAAACAAGCCAATTCACTTCGTGAACTCGGCAACCAGGTTACCGTTTTTTTTTTTCCCTCCGTTTTTTTTTTGGCGGTAACCATAAAGGTGGTCGAGTAGATTATGTTGTGCGGGGTGGAGAACCCTCACTCCGCGCAAGGGGGATGATCGCACCAAGTTGTGTTAAAATGGTCAAGCACCCTCGAGGCAGTTACACAGTGCTTACAACTTTTTCTGGAAGTGAAAGCACCAGAAAATAAATTAAGTCATACGCAGCTGTCATCCGTACGCAAGGAATTAGGTATAAGATGCCGAACACCCTCAGCAAGATGCAGCGCACCCTTCATGCGACTCGCCGAATACCTCACGGCGCTTCGCGCTTGGTGATGTGAGAGCCTGGTCCGGTGAGAACCC